TTCCCTAGAGAACCTCATATGAAACACTGGTGTTACAAACACTTTCTCTCAACGTTACCACCATAAAGTTCTCAGTGTCTGGGTTCCAGAGAGAGAGAAAATTAAAGTTACAGCCCCAAGTACATGATCACAATGATAATACCGATTGTTAAATAAAAGAAAGGTTGTGTTTCCAAACACAGTGCTCCGTCAGGCAAACTCACCTGTATTTTTCCAATTTCTGATTACAAGCAATGCACTCTGAAAAGAGCTTGTATGATGGCTGCACTGGCATGATAGGTTCCAGGCTCAGCTTCACTCCTGACTCTTCTACCTCATCCCTCTCCTCCAAGCAATGCAGGGGGTGGGGAATTGTGGTCATGGTCAGTTCATAATGCTTTGCCTCTGCTATACCTTCCTTATCAAGCTCTTCCCCTGCTCCAGCATGAGGACCCTCTCATGGGAGACAGTTTTCCACAGACATCTCCAATGTGAGTCCCTCCCATGGGGTGCAGCTCTTCAGGAACTGCCCCAGCGTGGGTCCTTCCCATGGGTTGCAGTCCTTCAGGAACAGGCTGCTCCAGCATGGTTCCCCCACGGAGTCACAAGCCCTGCCAGCAAACCTGCTCCAGTGTGGGTTCCTCTCTCCACGGGTCCACAGGTCCTGGCAGGAGCCTGCTCCAGCATGGGCTCCCCACAGGGTCACAGCTTCCTTCAGGCATCCACCTGCTGTGGTGTGGGGTCCCTTCCATGGGCTACAGGTGGATATCTGCTCCACCATGGACCTCCATGGGCTACGGAGAAACAACCTGCCTCACCACAGTCTTCATCACGAGCTGCAAGGGAAGACTCTCTGCTCCAGCATCTCGAGCACCTCTTCCCCCTCTTTCTTCACTGACCTTGGTGTCTGCACAGTTGTTTCTCTCATATCGTCTCACTCTTCTCTCTACACTGCCGCTTCACCACAGGTTTTTTGTTCCCCTTCTTAAATATGTTGTCACAGAGGCACTACCACCATCGCTGATTGGCTTGGCCTTGGCCAGCAGTGGATCCATCTTAGAGCCAGCTAGCACTGGCTTTATCAGACATGGGAGAAGCAGAAGCCACCTCTCTAGCCCCCCCACTACCAAAACCTTGTCACACAAACCCATAACACCTTGATACTAATGAAAAACAGCCTTACAAAGGAATTCCATCTCCACACACAGCACAACCAACTGATTGATGAAGAGCAGGTAATAAAAGTGTGGCATGTACAACAGAATCACAGAATAACAGAATGGTCGGGGTTGGAAGGGACCTCTGTGGGTCACCTAGTCCAACCCCCCTGCTGAAGCAGAGTGGCCTACAGCAGGCTGCACAGGACAACAGCTATCTCCTGGTATTTTAAGAGTGAAAGAAGGAGGAAATAGTATCAAATTATGTTTCACAAATCCTATCAGTGTAAGAGTTTCTGAGGAACTGTTTTCTCTCTTAAAAGTTCACATTACTCAAGTTTAACACAAATCAGGAGAATAAAAATGAACGCTGGGCTTCACTGAAATAAATCAAAAACGCCCATTGATTCTAGTTCAACCAAAATTTTGTCCTAAATTTAACAGAAAGACATGAATCTCATAGACAAGATTGGTCAAAAGAACATCTACTACATGCCTTCTTTCTTAGTTTGGACAAGCAGTATTGTACAGGCTTTCTATACGAAAAAGAGCTTTAAAATTTAACATTTCATACATTCAGAAACCCCTGAAGCTAATGAGAATCTCAATATTTGATTCAGTGAATTCTAGGATGGAGTCACAGTAATTTGCAGCACAGAAGCAACTCCATTTTTCTCTCGCATCCAGATACAATATTCTCTGGTTCCACAAAAGTCAGATATGAAGATCCCTAGGAATCCCTGAAACTGAAACTATAGTCCTTATGTGAAAAGAACAAAAGAAATAGCAAAATGCTTCTTCTTCAGAAGCCATACAACTGAGCAGCTGCGATGTCTACATTGTATCACAACCCAAACAGTTGTTACCTAAGTAGCTATCCATAACTCTAATAATTCACTGGCTTCATATTATGGAAGATCTATGCCTTAGAACCCTACTGAAAGTCAGTGGCCCACTGCCCAGTTTCAGAAGCCAAGTGCTTTCCTCTCCTCGTGTGTCAGATGAGGATTACGAATAAGCTCCTTAGTTCACTCCCAGACCCCAGTCCCCTGATCATCTACATAACTCGTTACTTTACACGCAAGATCTCTTTTGCTGCTAACTTACCTTTAAAATGAAATTTGAGCTGCACACTGAGAAAAACTCATTGCAATGACTCACCTTAAAGGCCAAATGTGTACAACCACACTGCATTTAGCTGCCTTTACTCAGCACACTGCTGTAATGCTGTGGAGCTCAATCCGCCCTCAGACTCTCACGCCCCTCATGACAAGCCCCACGGCATGCACCACATACCTGCACTATCATTCCATGGAAATGCTACCCAGGCAAGCTACAACACAGCCCTCTGATTAGTTCAGATGCAGGGAACTGAAAAACACAAAGTAATAGTTAAGGGTTTACAGCCCTACAGGCGGAGCCCAGCGGTGATTCAAATCAAGTGTTGGCCAGCATGGATGCAGTCAGTATGCTCTAGCACCAACGCACCAAGAACCAGGTGGATTTGAGCCATCCTGCACCACTTTGCCTCAACGCTAGGAATCACTCCTCATGATATAGCCCACATTTTTTATTGCCAGATGAGAAAACCAAGTAGAAATTACAAACGTCAAGCCAAACTCCTTCAGCAAATCCACATGTACTAAACTGGCTTCAATGAAGACAGGTAATCAGGAGCTGAGAAGTGACCCATAATCACTCTAACTTCCCTAACCATGCTGTTTCCCCAGTCTCAACATGACTGGAAGTGAGGTAGCTTGACCCTGGAGCTACCACCTTTCAGACACCCAGATTAATCATCCTCTCCATCAAAATCTCCAAGGCTGCCTTTGCCAATCTAATCTAATCATCATCTCCCACCTTTGCAGAACAGCCCACTGCCTCCAACCATCTCCCTTCTCAGGTGGTTTACAAGCCAGATGCAAGTCCTCAGGTGGAGATAGTGTCAGCATCTGCTTTTGAGTCTGCTATGCGGACACACTCAGTGCACACCACCAGGCTGCACACGCGCTTATGACAGGCATGATTATAAATATCCATCACAGGCTGCACAGATTGCTCTCAAGATTTGCGTTTTTAAGCATCAACCATTACTGCCCATACGTTTTCTAGAAAGCATTGCTAGTACTGCCACTAGCCAGTGGGTGTCTAGAAACAAGGAGTGGGCAGGCATAGCAGGGTTATATTCCACTTCAGCAGCTTCCTGGAACAGCAACTGAACATAAGAGGAGAAGGCAGGCTCACAAGGAGTCCATACAAAGAAACTTCAGTATGGTTCAATCCAAAAATATCAATGTATAGTTTTGGAATCATCATATTTTTGTTACCAAAAATAAAAAATGATTACTTTTTTTTATTTCAGTACAGCTTCTAAAAAAAGTTCACAACTAAATGGTAAGTTACAGGAAGAACGTAATGGTATTTTCTTTTAATTGTTTATTATTAATACAACCTTCCCTGAACATTTTTCTAGTAATTCCCCATAACAATAAGGCTGCATAAAAGAAAAGGATTACTGAGCTACAAGTTTCTTTTTAAGATGAAAATGCAGTTCTAGGATTTTTGCCATTTTTAAAGTACAATCAAATTACCAGTATTATGTACTTGTTCTATCTTTTTCTAGATATGAAAAAGAAGAGGTAAGGACAGTATCAAAATTTATGTTTGAGTTCTTTGAAAATGCTCACAGAAATGCTACCTTACAGCTGGTGCATGTTTAGGTCCCAGCCCAGCAACAGCATCATATCCCAGTTGAGGTCTTTATGTTCTACTCCATAACAAACACTGATATTTCTTACTCCAATTATAATATGCAATCTATTGATATTACTAAAATTGGCAATGTTTATCTGCAGTACTCTACACTCAGCCTCAGGCAGAACCAGTTTATCCATTTGGAACAGAATACACTTCTTGTTAGTTAATCCCCAGCTGACAAATTACAAAAGGGAGAATAACAAATACAAATAGTCATTTAAAATACCGTGTTTTTGGCATGAGATGCCTCACAAAACACTGTAACCTAAATGGATTAGAAGTTTATAACAAGAGTTTCAGCAGGTTCTAGTGCTGACTTTTAAAATAAAGTTACAGATCCCAAGGCATATTTAGATTTTAATAACATGAGCATCCTAACAGCACTTCCACTCTTGAGAAAAAAATCCAAGGCTGTGTATGAGCAATATAAAAGCTGTTCCGTTTGCTTACCACTAATATCTATCTTGTTACATTATAAAGCACTTAGAGAAAGATTTGAACATAAAGATTATGCAAGTTTTTGTTCCATCACACATAGCTTGCTTGCCATCTAGTGGACACAGCATACGAATTAAAGTAAGCACTTTCAGCAAGAAATGAGCAGTCACAAAACGTATGGGTATAACAGTTTTGAATTAAATATTTCAATTAGCAGCAGAAAAAGATTAGGATTGCTAACAGTACTGCCTATTAGATTCCCCTGAATGCTAGGTTTTGTCTAAACCCTAGTCAATCTCCAAAAGAAGCCTTTCAAAAATGCATTCTTCTATACCATACATCCTTTCCAGTCTTAAAAAGTAAACCACAATGAAGAAAACAGATTATAATTCATTTTATAATATTACCAGAATAATTTGCAACATGAGGCAGCTGAGACACAAAATACAAAAATCCAAATCATTCAGCTCCAAGACAAAACTGTCATACCATTTTGAGTCTGGAGCAAGAAGAGTTCATAAACAGCATTCTGCACCTCCTTGATTTTACCCCCAGAAAGTATAGTGAATTAATTACATGTTTAAATTAAGCACTTGATTAAGTGTCTTCCTTGACCAGAGAGCTCAGTATCTTATCAAATTGACCTGGGCATCTGAGTTACAGCTCATTTGCTTTGAAACCAATTCAGCACAATGAACAGCAGGAACAAAATGATTTTGTGCTTGCTCGCATGAGTTTAAAACCAGAGTAACTCTATTTAACTAACCAGACCCTTCAAGGTTCATACATTTCTTTCGAATGACATTTTATGTCAGTTCTAGTGTGCTTTTGTATTGTCAGCTCGAAGGGGATTAAACCACTTGAAAAATGCATTAGAAGTGTCAACAGAGGACAAAAATATGTATGAATCAGAAAAATAAGCTAGCAGAGTCACTTTAGTTTCCTGTTCAGCAAATTTTATTCTGATTCCAAATGTTGTTTGATATCACTAAATAACACACTGTGTACATATTTTTTTAATTGTTAATCA